TACTTGGGAGGCTGAGACAAGAGAATCGTCTAAACCCAAGAGCTGGAGGTTGCTGTGAGCTGTGATGCTACTGCACTCTATCCAGGATGACAAAATGAAACTCTGTCTCTAAAAAGATTGTGAGTTTTTTTTTAAAAAGTACTCTGATTCGTAACAGTGTTTTAGATTGGTAGGTATTTATTGCATATTTCAAAGTCTCACAAGTTTGACATTAACAACTATCATCTTTATCTACTGAACACTTACTATTGCAAGGCCTTGTGCTGAGTATGAAATAAATATCTCACCTTCAAAATCCTATCAAGTAGAAATCTCTCATTTTATAGATGAAGAGTCAAAGATATAGGAAATGAAAGTGATTTGGTCAAGGTCACACTGGAGACTGAGGGTCTGGAAAGTTCATAAGGCCTGTCTTTTGGCCACTCTGCCATATTGCCCTCCATGCACTGAGCATAGTTTATCTGAGAGACAGTAAGGAAGAGGCCTAGTTGGAACAGAAAGTAGCCCATGGGGAACAGAGGGCAAAAGACTGGCTAGATTAGCCGTGATGGGCTGTAACACCCAAGCAGAAAAACTGAGTTTGTGTATTAGGAACTAGGTGACTAGAGCAGGTTTGTGAGGAGACCTCTGAAAGGTAAACACATAGTATTTCTGAATACACTACAAAGTCACGGTTTTGAAAAACATTGCTATAAATACTTTTTAGGTCATGTTGAAATTATTCCCCAGGTTTAAAGGCAGCACACAAAAGAAAACAAGTATGAAAATAACTTGTGAAATGTTTCTTTTCAATTCCAATGTAATAAGCCTCCTTGCTTATCTAATTACAGACCTGAATTTCACAACCATCAACAGATTATTCTAGAAACAACACCAATTATTGCTTAAATTACTAGAAATAAATTCGAAAACCTAACAGTATCATGGCAGTTGAACACAAATACTTTATTCTTTTCCAGAAATTCCCTAAACTATAATAATGATATTTTTCAAAAGTGCAAATCCATGAGATTAGAAATGGAGCTGACAGGAGATGAGTCAAGAAACATCTCTATTTTAGCAGCTGGAAAGCAAATAAAGGAGCAGCGATTTTTTTTTTTTTTTTGAGTCAACAGAAAGCTAACATCTAATTACAGATAAGGAAGCAACAAGAATCAGGCAGAAGAAAAATCTGGACTCTACAGGGGCTTAGGGTGAGAAGATTATCAGACAATTCTGGCTCCAGGAGTATGACCAAGTTACAGTTAGAAACACTGGCTGGAAGCCTATGTCACCTCCTTGCAAAGAATGCGTGTGTGCACTCGTGAGATAGCTTGGTAAGTTTACAGAAAAGCACTTTTTAAAATCCAACTGGAATATGTGCTGGCTTCATAGCACACATATTAAAACCCAAATGAAATGACTCTGTCTGCCTCTGTTATACATATAGAGTCAATATGGACCAAATGTGTCTATTACTCAGCAGCAAAGTCGAAAATATCACACCAGGTCTATATCAGAAAAATGTCTCATTCTACATGGTTTTTACCTGGTTGGAGTTTACTGGGATGATGCTGTGTTCCGGCTCCCGGCAGGGGAGGAGGGCTCACCCCTGCAGGCCCAGCACCCTGGGTTGGGCTCACACTAGTTAGAGTCCCTGCAGGCAATGGCTGACCTCTCTTTAATAGCTGCTTCTGTTCTTGCTGGCGGAAGCGTGGAGGCACCTCGCGAGGCAGGTAACGGGACGCAGCTGGCTGTTGGCCACCGGCAGACGCGCGCTTGCCATTGCTGCTGTTGGGGATAGTGCTGGTGGAAGTACTGGTACTGGTACCGGCAGGTTGGGGCTGGCTTGAACAGGTCTTAGTAGGTTCTGGCACTAAAAGGAATAAAAGGAAAAAGAACCCAAAACTTTAGTAACATTTCTTAAAACCCAACCTCAACCAAGGAAACTGAAATTAAAAAACTAAGAAAAAAATGACAATGTATTTCTTTGGAAAGAGAACTGGACTAAAGTCTAGAGTTCCAAGTTTAAGATCTCATTTTCCCACAAAGGACTTGTGATCATTTTTTTTTTTTTCTGAATCATCTTAAGATGTTTCATCAAGTTGGTATAATCAAATTCAAGATTCAGAAAGCTAGTGCCCCAAATAAACCCAATGGCAAAAGGAATATAGAGATGAAGAAGTAAACTAAGACTTACAAACATATTGATAGAGATAATATACAGGAAGGCGATCTACAGACGCAGTACAATCCCCACTAAGACACCAAGGTCATTTTTCATAGATCTTGAAAAAATAGTTCCACACTTTGTATAGAAGTGGAAAAGAGCCCAAACAGCAAAGCAAACTTAAGTAAAAAGAACAAATTAGAAAGTATCTATTTACCAGACTTCAGGCTATACTACAAGGCTATATTAACCAAAAGAGCATGGTACTGGCACAACAGACACAGACCAGACCAATGGATCAGAACGGAGAACTTTGATATAAAACAATGCCTATCGGCTCAGTGCTTGTAGCTAGCGGCTTAGCCACACACACCAGAGCTGGCGGGTTCAAACCCAGTCGAGGTCTGCCGAACAACAATGACAATTACAACAAAAAAATAGCCAGGCATTGTGGTGGGCGCCTGTAGTCCCAGCTACTTGGAGGCTGAGGCAAGAGAGTCACTTAAGCCCAAGAGATTGAGGTTGCTGTGAGCTGTGATGCCACGGCACTCTACCCAGGATGACATAGTGAGACTGTCTAAAAAAAACCAAAACCAACAAAAAACAAATAAACAAACAAAAAAACCCCATGCTTATATTGCCATCTGATTTTTGACAAAGCAAACAAAAACCTACACAGGGGAAAAGAATCCCTATTCAATAAAATCTACTGGGGGCTGGGCGCAGTGGCTCGTGCCTACAATCCCAGTACTCTGGGAGGCTGAAGTGGATAGACTGCTTAGCTCTCGAGTTTGAGACCCTCATCTCACTAAAAATAGAAAAACTAGCTGAGCATTGTGGTGGGTGTCTGTAGTCCCAGCTACTCAGGAGGCTAAGGCAAGGGGATCATGTGAATCCAAGAGTTTGAAGTTGCTGCAAGCTAGGATGCCACGGAGGGAGGGAGGGAGGGAAGAAGGGAGGAAGGAAGAAAGGAAGAAGGAAAGAAAGAAAAAAGGGAAAAAAGGAAAGAAAGAAAAAAGGAAAAAAGAAAAAAATAAAATTGGATAGCCACATGAAGAAGACTAAAACAGGATCTGTACCTCTCACCACTCAGGAAAATTAACTCATGAGGGATAACAGACCTAAACTTAAGACATAAAACTGTTAAGAATTCTAGAAGTTGGGAAAACACAGACATCAGCATTAGCAAAGAATTTATGAAGAAGACATCAAAAGCAATCACAGCAATAACAAAAATAAATAAATGGGACTTGATCAAACTAGAAAGCTTTACACAGCTAAGGAAACAATCAGAGTGAATAGACAACTCCCACAAGGGAAGGCAGTATCTGCACGCCATACATCTATCTGGTAAAGGGCTAATCGCCAGGAGCTATGCAGAACTCACATGGACCAGGAAGAAGACAGCAAATAACCCCAGTAAAAAGTGGGCAAAGGAAATGAACAGAAGCTTTTCAAGAAGGGGAAAGAGAAGAGGGAGGGGAGG